ACTGCATGCAAGTTTTATTTTTTCAGAACACAGTCTTTTTTATTATTTTTTTCATCCCAATAGTCTGTAGAATTATTTCCGTGAGATCCTAAACAGTAACATTATTGAAAAATGAGCTTTACCGCATATGGAACATTTTAACTTATTGTTTTGCCTTTGGGAAAAATGGTTCCGTGCAACATTTAAAACAGAAATCCGTGCTTCAGCTTTTTACTTTTTTTCTCGGTTAAACAATCGCATTCCGAATGTCATTGACTGAATCGAAATGAAGTTTGAATGTTTATATTTTGATCTCATTGTAGACAGCAAAATGCGAGGACAGATACATCTGGGTCCCGTTTATCATGCTAATCAGCTTGCTTTCGCGTTTTGTTTGTTGGGAGGGGGGGAGAAAATTGACAACCTTTTTCGATTGCAACCTTTTTTCCTTGCAATTAATTGCTGAGAAAGAAATTCCACTAGGTGATTCAAAATCCGAATTTTTATTATTTCCAAAACCAAATCTGCGGCAATGTTTTAAGCAAAATAGGTGCTCCATATGTTTCTGAGGTCATATTAATGATCAAGACATCGAATATGTTTTGTATGTAATTGAATACTTTTACGGAAATTTTGAATGTCATTAGAATCCTTTAGAGGTCTTATTTTCAGTAATTGTCTATATGGGTGTTTAGTAGTACATCTTTATTTCCAAATCTTTCTGGAGAGTTTAACATGAAGTTTCGTAATTTTCTCAGTTAAAATTGAAACGTCATGGTGTTATAAGCAGTACCTCCCAAAAAGGTTCAAATAATTAAATTTGCTTATAGTGTCAAGCGTTTTATTTTGGGTTGGCTGTGAAAGTGTTCCAAAATGTTCAGCCATCGCAGCTCTCGCCATAAAACTTTGGAATCGTAAGTTTAGGAAGCGTCACATTAGACTTTCGATGTAACGTTTCTCTAACGTTCACTTACTGTTCAGTCTTCTTAACACACTAAATTTTGTTGTTGCTATATTATTTTTCAATTTTTTTTGATTTGTTTTAAATGTAGTTATCTTTACCATATCGTTCAACACCGTTTTGTTAATACTGGTCTAGATCCTTTATGTCTATTAATTTTTCTATATCGGCATCTATTTGTTTAACCGTTTGATTTTTCATTTAAGAGTTAAAGGAAAGTTCTAGTTCCTCTGATCACTTCCGTTTTTGGTAATTCAGTTTCGATGAGAAATTTTAATTGTAACCCGGGCAGCCTTATGTGCTGCATTTCCTTTTTTTTCGTCATCGATGAATTCAGTCAGTCATATTAATACATAATTCACAGTATGAACAATCGATTTTGAATCTGGAAGTGATGACAAAAAATGATAACTGTGTTCAGGTTAATAGCATGATTGTCTTAGAAACAAAAGGTAAGAAGACTTACTTTTAACGATCTTCTTTCCGTTCACGGCATATCGGGAATGTTTTATAATTACGTCCATCAAAGCACACTCACGGAAAAAGAAGGCTTTTAAATAATAAGATATTAATTACAAACACATCCTTAAATAAAAAATATGGTATAACACAGAAGAGGAGGCTTACATTTTTCACTCAAACGTCCATCACGAGTTCTCAAAGTTCAGTTAAAAAAGTTCTGTTTTAGTTTTTGCTGCGCGCATGCGCAAATCACGTGGTTGTTGGTGAGAGTTTCAACAGCTATGTCATTTATCTCTTTATATTTACAATCTTGACGTGAGTAACATATTTTTAAGTCTCAAACAATGTAAAATATTTTGTTTTATATTTCAGTTGTTTTAATATTTGAAGTAACTTTGAATGTATTTGTAAGTCCTCAACAGTAATGTTAAATATTTGTTCATATTGAGTTGTTTATAATTAGGTAAATTATATTTGTGTCAATAATTGTGGTTGTTTTGACCTGATAATCTCATATCGGTAATGCGGAGTATATTTTTTTATAATTTTTAAAGCACCCTTGATTAAAATAGAATTTCAGGGCAGCTTTTGACTATCCAAGAATGACTGAAATGCTTTGTGGGAGTTTTAGATGTAGCAGATAAAGGTCATGTAGTCAATATCAAATTTTCAATACTGTTCAACTTTCAGGCATGTTGCTTTTTTTGTACTCTTATTTTTTAGCTGTAGGCTTTTTCTAAAACATTTATTTTTCAATGTAATTTGTTTTAACTTTGCAATAGTTTAATCTTAATTTTAAATTAGTTTTATTAATTTAAAAAATAATGTAATATTAATGTCACTTAGTAAATAATGAGGAATCCTTTTATTTTCCACACCACAAAACATTTAGTAACATTGAAAATTACAGATTAAATTGGAATATAACAGCAGTTTCGTGCCTCTTTGCACTAGCAGAACACAAGGGCAATTTCACATCCCTTTATGTATTTCCATAGTCAGTGACACCTACTTGCGCTCATGATCAGATATAAAACCAAAAATCTGTCACCACTACCTCTGTGGGCCTGACCGCTCCTTGTCTGCTTCGCCTTTGTCTCAAGATGTTTTTCCTGTCAGGTGATGGATGCCCTCTGGTGGTTGCAGGACTTACCGTATATATATATATATGTAACCGCTGGCAGGTTGCGCTTTTGATTTCATATAATGTTTAGTACATTTGTGAGATTACATAATACTTACTGCATTTCTGAACTCAAAAACATATTTATTACAAGTACGATAAGCTCTTTATACATATATATATATATATATAATTCATGGATAGCATAGAACAAATATGGTAGTGAAGTATAGTCCTCATGGCATGAGGAACCTGCTAATGAGGGTCATTCTAGTTGAGAGTTCAAGAGCATTCTGGTGTATTGTTCCGATGGAAACAAGCTGCAGACTGAACTAAGCACGCCTCCTTAATTTTTCATTTGTATTTTATATCTTCTGACTCATTATACTTGGAACGATATCAGAGGAAAAACAAGATCATTGTTTCATCAGCCATCTTGAAATCAAGAGGCTTTGATGACAAACACAGTGCAGAATCTCTTGACAGTCATGAAGTTGTGTCTTTCTTTGCACTGTCAACTGGAATGATGTGTTCGCGATGTTGGACCATGTCGTGTGGCACGTTGTAAAAGCTTGAAAACAGTGTCTTACAGGGACCATGCACGCGATTTTCTCATCTCTGTGTGGTCCCCTGAATATATCTCTGTGTGGTCCCCTGAATATATCTCTGTGTGGTCCCCTGGTACTTTTTGATTAATGTCATCACCTCCAAAATATTTTGTTACGAAATTTTAAAGAATTGAAACACCTCGAAATTTTTATCATCAAACGAAATCATCACTGAATTCTTTTTATACAAAATGGCAGCAGTTGTATAGTTTCGTTTTTTTATTGGTAACTAGCATGCATTGCAATGCTACTTGAAGAAAAGAAAATGTTTGTGTTTTAATTCTATTTATTGATGTGCTTTTTGGATACACAATGTTTTTTATTTTCCCATCTACTGTGCACATGAATAAATTGGGGAAGGTTTTTAATAAATCGACTGTTACTTGTCTGTTTCAGACAAACAGGCTTGAGCAGTGTGTACTGGAATGTTTTCCAGTCTTGCTTCCCATTGCTCATTTATTTCATACAAATAGTCTTGAGCAGTGCATACTCGAACATTTTCCACTGGCACAACACAAAGCTTTCAAATCGCTGAGTTTTTAATCAAAAGTTTGTTAAATTAACATAAAATATTTGTGTTAAAAAAATGTGCAGTCCTCATGGGCTGGTTTTTGAGCAATCTTATGTAGGCAGTGTCTTTCTTGTTGTTTTAAAGGTTGAATATGGCAAGTTTCATAAAGATTATAATTAAACTGTAGATTTGTTTAAAGACAAACCAACAAGCATTCATTTATATAAATAGAAGATGATGCATAATTCCAAAACACATGAATATTACAATAATTCAATTCTTTTTTAATGATGAACTAAATGCATTTTGAATATGAATATTATATTCAAGGTAAGATATATATGCTTGACAAGAAAGGTTATCAGGTTTATTTTAATAAGTTTAACAGTCAGTGAGGTATGAAGAATGTGAAGCAGATAGATGTTGTTGATGAAAATAAATGCAGCTATTTTATTTATTTACTTATTTTTGGCTCACATATAAATAGCAAACAAATTTTAGCATCACTTTGTAGTGCTGTATAAATATAAGGTTTCTGTATCCAAATTAGTCAAATTATCTGGTATAAAATTTTGAAATCTTTCTAAAATAATATTATTGATAGAAAAGTAAATGTAAATTTACATTTTTGAAAGCATTTGGTATAGTTTATTCATACTTGTTTAATATGAGTGTTTACAAAGTATATCATAAAATGTCTTTGGGGTAATATTTCAAGAAATGTTAAGGTTTTCCCTCCTTGCTTAATCTGTATATTTTCAAGACAGACAGTTAATGAGAGTCTCTTAAAGACAGAGAAAGTAATCAGTTGCTGAGTTGTAGAAAATTGCAAAATTGGTGGGAAAATTTTTTGTTGGTTGCAAAACTTATAAAGCATCTTTAACTATTTATTTCAATAACTTTGTGTGTCATATTAAGATCTACGAAAATCCTATTTATGTGTTGTATCTTGCAACAACAATAATTGGAAATATTAAAGTGTTATCTTCGAGTTTTTAATTTTTCTGTGATGCAAAGATCTGTCAAAATCTCCTATTATGTGCAGTGTCATCTAACAGTAGTAATTGGAAATAACACCAGTTTTTCCCTTCATTACTCTTATAAATGTCACTCATTTTCTACAGTACTGTAGACATTTAAATATTGTTTTTAAAAATTATTTGTCTCAATAATTCACATCCAAATTCACTTCTTTGGTATAAAAAATTAATAAAAATTATGTAATGACTTTTTAAGCCACTATCCCTAATAATAGCATAATACTACTATGTAAATAATATAGTCTTCTAAATTCCTACATGTAAAATTTTTATGTAATTTTTAATAAAAAAATTATCTTATTTTTGTGTATTTCAGACGTATTCCAAAGAGATGCTGTTATTGTTCCAGAAGAAGCAAGAACTGTATGTTTTGAAAATCTGGGGGCAGCTTGTTAATGCTTTTGGAAAAGTATGTTCTCTAACACAGTATAAGCAGAGTTATGTCTGATTCAAATGTTATAATATTTGGTTAGGTAAATGAAATAAACAATTCAGTGTGTCATTTTAAAACAGTACTAGCAGCTTAGCTGCCAGCCTTCGTCTGGCTTTTAAATGTACCAGAAAAATGGCTAAAGGAAACACCAAACGTTAAATTTAAAAACTGCATAGAATTTTACTCTGCAGAACAACTTCATAAAAAAAAAGTTATTATGTATAACAAAATTACAATGAAATAAGCAATATCCCTTAATACAAATATTAACTATCCTAATAAATAAATTAACCAACTTCCCTTTGCAAAATCTCAAGAACTCAAATGGTGTAAATGAGGTTAAGAACTTTGTTTCCTAAAAAAATCACTCAAAACTTTTCAATATCTTAAAAACAGTGAAATGAGCAATAAATAACATAAAAAAAAAAAAAAAAAAAAAAAATCCTGAAAAGCGAAGTATAATTAATGATATTTTATAACATATCATAATTATTTTATAACATTCATAATATATAATGAAGTATATTAATGATATTTCCAAGAGAAAAAAATTACAATGAAATAAGCTATATCCCTTAATACAAATATTAATTATCCTAATAAAAAAATTAACCAAAAATCATGCAAAACTTTTCCATATCTTACAAACAGTGAAATAAGCAAAAAACATCATAAAAGCAACTCAAAAAACATAAAATTATGTGCAGACTTTTACTCTACAGAACAACTTTGTCAAAAAAAATCAATGAAAATATGTTATCGTATTTGACGGCATATAAGACGCACTTTTTTTCCTAAATTTGGTCTCAACAAAGTTACCTGCGTCTTATACGTGAAGGATACAGTCTTATACTTGAAGGTAATTGCATTCAATAATTGTTTATTTGGCTTTACGAAACGGAGAACTAAAAGAAACACGCTATTGAAACTTTTTTCCCTTGGTGTGGCCGTCTAAATAAGGGTGCGTCTTATATGCCGTCAAATATGGTATATATATATAAAAATAACAATGAAATATGCCAATATCTTAAAAACAGTGACATAAGAAATACAATGAAAAATTGTTGCCGCACCCATATTTCTAAAAGAATGAAACTATTCAAAATGATGCGATTTCATCAAAAATCTATCTATTTCATCTAATCTACAATTTTCCTGTCTGTCTAACAATAAGACAGGAAAATTGTTGCCAAAATCACATTTTTAAAGATGTGAGATGTGAGAAATGTACTCGGAAGCTTCATTTAAAAAATTTTTAAAAAATACAAAATATTATCATTTTTCCAAAATTCTTTCTGTAAAAGCACTCGCAAGGATGAAAGTTTAATGTGTCCAAAAATCAAAGACAAATAAACTGTGCATTTTTAACAATAAACTTTTTTAGAAAAAATCCCGTTGAAAAGGTATTAAGCTCCCTTTGTTAAATAAATTCGTATTTAATCGATTTATTAAAACACGAAATTTATTTTAAGTTCGTAAAATAGCTAAGTGCCTACGTTTCATGATTCATAAAGGTATTTCTTTTTGAACATTTTATTTATTTGAGATAAAATATTCAAAATGGGTATAATATGACCATTTAATACAGAGAACAGACAGTAATGAACATGAAAACAAAAGTATTTTTATCCTGAAAAAGGGTGAAATTTTTACATTTTGTTTTGGCTTCAAGAATGAAGTAAATCACTTTAATAATGATAATACTTAGACCATTTCATGCATAAATTGAAATATGTCATCATTTTTAACCCTCATTTTTTTTCCATGTAAGTGATGAAAATATGTTTTTAAATAGTTTAACACTTCAAACTGTTATATTGTAATTAAATGAAATGTTAAAAATTCTTAGTTGTGCATTCCTTTTGGGGGGGGAATTCTGTGTACATTGGAGCATTGTGAATGTGTCATAAAGTTAGTGAATTATATTAAAAAACATGCACAGTTTTGTCCGTCCGGGATACCAGTAATAGCAATATTTGTTAAAAATAGGAATTATTTCTATGTTAAGTGTTGGTAAGTTTCTACGTTATGTTTAATTGTAATTTCGATTTTTATAATTGTTTAATTAAAATTCTTCTTTTTAATTAGTTGCTAACAACAAACCTGAAAAGTATTTTTAAAAGCTAAATGATTCAAAATTTGAAAAAGTACACCATAAAAATTTTAAGACTTTTTTATTATATATTATATATATTCATTATGTGTATTAATGTTGGATATGTCCTCATTTTTCAGTATGTAATTGGAAAATGCAGATTTACCATGTATTTTTTCGGTACTTACGGAAAATCCTATGTCATCTTCTCTTTAATAGGCAAAAATGGTCGAAAGTGCAATTTTTCGCCAAAAATAGAAAAGTCTTCTTCATGCTGGGTTTGGTGTAACCTTGATTTCACGTGTTAGTTATTATTCTTTAGTAAAGACTCCTTCCCCCCTCCCATCACGCATTTTTGAAAAAAAAAAATTTTTTTTTAATTTGGGACCTGCCTACTACAGAAGAGCATGCTGTTGAATATTTCTAAAGTTATGGAATCGTATCAGCCTCACAAAATGTATTAATGACCACAAAATGCCACTTTATTTAAAAACTAGTAGTAATGGTATTGCAACATTAAAGTTTGTGCCAAGTGAATGTTAGTTTGAAAGAGAACGTGGTTCGAGATAAAGAACTTAGCAAAAATAATTGCTCATATGGTATATCTCCTTAATAAAAAATAATGGAAATTTTTAATGAAAAATTAAATATAAATAAATGATAATGTAATAATTTGAAAGAAAAATAAGAGTAGAATGTTTTTTTTTCTTGTATTTAGTAATTTTTTTTTTTTTTTTTTGTTGTTGTTGTTTTGTTTTGTTTGGCGCCATATCTTGTGGCCGACGGGATTTCCGTAAGTACCTATTTTTCTAATATCCTTTCATCTCCTTGGGGAAGAGGGAGATTAAATTAAATATTTTTATATGAAAATTTAATTTTTATGTAAATGTATATATTATATTTAATGAATTTTCATAATTGCAGTGTTTCAAAATGTGCCAGACATATGTAATGGCTTTATAATTAAGAAGGCACCGTTTGACGAAAACATAACAGAATATTTATTAAAACAGGATTGCTACGCTACCAGGAAAACCTGAAAAACTGATAAAAGTCAGGGAATTCGAAAATTGGCCAAAAATGTCAGGGAAAAAATCAGGGAATTTAAATATTTTAGTCAAAATCTGGAAATGTCAGGGAATTTATACTGCGATCCCCAAAAAAGTGATTTTCGCGCCAATGTCGGACACAATCTCTTTCTTGGCATATCATGTATCACGTAAGCGTCATTCGGACAGCTGGCGGGGAGCTAATTTTCATAGAGCCAATCAGATTGTCTTTAAGAAAGACAAAGCAAGTTTCCAGCATCTTTGATTTCCAGTAACTTCGAAAATCCAGAGATTCCCATGTGCAGTGCCATGTTGAATGAAAGTAAATTCACCCACTCCCCCCAATTCTCGCATATAAAACAAAATCTTTTAAACATTTTTCTTCTTTCTTAAATGCCTTATTTGTCATTTTGCAGTAAAAATAAAAATAAAAAAATAATCAGTCATCTAGGCTAACCATTTACTATATATATATATGTGTGTGTGTATGTGTGATATTTTGGTAGTCGTGAAGCTTGGCATCAGAGTTCAGACATGGCTTTTTGCAGAGTAGTAATGGATATTCTAAGATGACACAAATTGATTTAGCTTTTAATTACCCATTTTATTTAATCCAATTAGCTGATGATTTTCCTTTTATAAGAAACTCTCTAAATTCCATATCTATAGTGATTTTAACTAAGTATGATTGAATTTAAACTTTATGCATCATCACTAATTCTAACAAAGGAAGGAAAGATGGACAGGGCAGTGCAGAGTCTTGTAGCAGCAATATTAGGAAGCAGTCTGTCTGAAAAATGGTGCGTACTCAGTATTTATGGTAGTGGTTATATTATAGGCTAGCAAATTCTAGAAGGAACTGGTCTAGGGGGAAGATTCTGAATTGCAGAAAGTTAATTAAAGGTTGCTGGTTCGCAAAGAGCAAAGCCATCGTATTTTTTATATTTTACATATATATATATATTCACTGAAATACCATCGATTTTTGTATTTTAGTTTTTAATCCTTAAGTAATTAACTTTATATTAATGTTATATGTACCATTTAATGTGACTTTTTCCTTCTAAATTTATTTATTATTAGTAATACTTTCAAATTTCAGGCAATTTTCTCTGGCATACTTGTGAAACTAATTCTACCAGTAATATGACATGCCATCACGAAATTTAGTTCACATTTTTTTACTTAAGTATGCTGGTAAATAAATATAAAATATTTGAATGTATTTAACAATAACATTAAATAGATTTCTTTCCTTTAGCTGCAAAATGTCTGCAGTAAAGACATTGTTAAATCCCGATTGGGCAGATTATAATCTCAATCCTCAGAGGATTAAACAACTCCTATTTAGGGATTATATATGTAAGTCTAAAAGTATATATATTAAGTAACTGGCAAATTTTTGTATTTTCAAGGGGTACCATAAATAATTTGCCCTCAGCACAGCTAATGCGCATTACGTGGATAGCCTGGAATTTTCTTGAAAACCACCTGGAAAAGTCAGAGAATTTCATTCTCCTGTTTCAGTGGCAACCCTGTTAAAATAACATTAAAGCATAAGCTTGGAGCAGAATATTGCTCCTACAATGTACAATTAACCAGCACCGCGCTTCTTCGTGACAAACATTCAGCTCACTTAAATCTAGCACCCTCTCACAAAAAGAGGCGAAATGTGTCATGTGCACATTGTTAATCACCAAACAGTCACCAGATACTGCACCCTCTATCACAGTAGTGGCACAGTTTTCCACCAAAAATGTTCTTAATAAAGTTAGAAAAAAACATAAAAGCAGTATCTTTAGTTGTGATCACCACCCAAATCTATGATTTTC